TCAGACACTCCCCCCTTAGCAATAACTATTAAAACCTGTGTCCAGAAAGAAAGAAAGGAAGAGAGAAAGAGAGGATTTGTATACACGTTGAAGTTTCAGATCGATTGATTTATGATTGGATACCCCATAATCCCTAAACGAACCGAGTATCGGTAAGTTTGAAACAGACAGAGACAGAGATGGAAGGGAAAGCGAAAGTGAACGCGAAAGTATTACGATGCGCTGCGATACGATGCTACTCCATATCCACAAGTAGCAAACCCACGCTACTCCACCATAGATTAAGAAAATCAATAATGGAAACCCGTTAGAAAGACTCAGAAAAACTCCTAAGCAGTCGCAACCGCATTATCATTTCCATGCTGAGCATGAGAACGATCACTATGCTGTGCCTCTGTTTTCTCATCCACCAAAACTCCTCCATTCTCATGACCATCGACCAAATCAACAAATTGTCTGCTAGGTTTCCAATGAACGGAGTCCTTAGCACTAGTCTTACTCTCATACAATTCATCAATTTGCTCCAATGTCAAGCCCTTGGTTTCATAAATCATGAAGTAGACAAAAGCGATACATACAAAGCAGCAAGCGAACCAGATGAAGAAGATTTTGGATTGAAGATTTGCATTTCCTTTTCCGTAATTGACGAGATAGGGGGTGGAATAGGCAATGGCCCAATTGAGGAGCCAGTTGGTGGCGACCGACATGGAGAGAGCCTTGGCGCGGACTTTGAGAGGGAATATCTCGCCGCAGACAACCCATGCGAGAGGACCCCAGGTGGATGCAAAGAAGAATATGTAGATGCAAATAAAAGCGATGGAAGCCTTTTGTCCAGCGAGGTTTTTGGCAAATACAGATCCATCGGCATTTTGGCCAGTGGTGACGGTACCCAAAACGGCGACGAGGAGTTGACTGATACACATTCCTACAGCTCCCCACAAGAGAAGTGGACGACGACCGAATTTTTCAATACCGTATAAGCCGGGAAGGGTAGATGAAACGTTGACGGCACTGGTAATCATTTGAATGACAAAGGCATTACTGATTCCAGAGTTCTTGAAGTATTGAGTACCGTAGTCTATATGATGATGTCATTAGTAATGTTCCATGTATAAATTTACTTGCAGAAGTAGACCTACAAAAGATGAAGTTAACACCAGTAAGTTGTTGTAAAGCTTGAAGAAGACATCCAGTTGCAAGTCTCTTAGCCATACCTCCTCTGAAACAATCAAGATAAGAAGCTTGGCCGAGTTTGAGTTCATATTCATGATTTGCTTGAATTTCAGCTAATTCTCCACGGATATATGGATCATCGTGGGGTAGGCGACGGAGCTTAGCGAGAGATCTAGCGGCCTTTTCAAAATTGCCGCGCTTGATCAAGTAGCGAGGGGTTTCAGGCAAGAACAATAATCCGATGACCAAGATGATTGCCTTGGTAGATGTTAGTTAGATACAAGTAGGTACAGGATGAAGTGACTTACCCAAAGGAATTGAACGGCAATGGGAATTCTGTATGATCCAGTATCATTTCGGTGTTGTGTAGCGTTATCAACAACAGCTGCAAGAAGGAGACCGATTGTGATAGCTAATTGGTAACATCCAACAATGACACCGCGAATCCATTTAGGTGCCGTCTCGGATTGATAAAGTGGAACTAGGAGAGGCAATGTTAGTTTGATGCTTTATTTTTGGTGTAGTAGAGTTGACTCCTAATGAATCAGATTGTAATAATATGACATGAAAATACTTACTCAAAGCAGAGATGAGACCAACTCCAAAACCCGCAAAGAAACGACCAGCAATGAACATTGGCAATGCAGCAGAGGCGGTTTGTAAGACAACACCAAAGTTAAAAACAATACCAGCAGATATCAACAGAGCAAGACTTCGACCGAAGAAGTCCGCAAGAGGAGCCGCAGTGAGTGCGCCGAAGAAAGTACCAGCGGATAGGATGGAAACAACGGCGGCAGATTGGGATGGGGAAACATCGAGATGTTTATCATTCGGATTCATGTAACCAGTAGAGAATTCGGCTCGCCAATAGCTAGAACAAAGTGTTAGCAAGAAGGTGCTTTAGATTGAAGTCACATAGGTTTCAATGGCATTAACTTACTCCATGGCCAAAATCCCACCAATAGTACCTGTATCATAACCAAAGAGGAGACCACCAAACGCAACGAAACAACCGATGACGATCTAATCAAACTGTTAATTCTATTCAAGAATACCATATAGATAGACACTTACTGCTGGCCATGATCTACCTGGAACGCCCGCGGGCTTGACAATTGAGATGCCCATCTTGTTGAATAATATTCTTATTAGAGATTAAGCAACAGAAATGGATTAAAGAATGAGGATAGACTAGTGTATGCCAAAAAGAATTTCGTAGGGAGAATTTGAATTAAGAGGAAAAGTGGTATGAAATTAATTTTGTGTAAGAATCTAGAATTTGTGAGGTGAAAGGAAGAAGGTCTTTTTTATGTAGAGGGGTGGCAGGTACGATAGCATGTACGAAGTTTATTTGATACGTTTCGCATCTAAAAGGGATTAATTAGATAATTTCCGTGGGGAAAGTACCATACGATGAGCAAGGGATTCACTAATTCGGTATGTAAATTGGGTGATTGGATGCATGGAAGAAAGGCTCCAAGGTTTGCATACGGGAAGTACCTAGGTAGTAGGTACCTACTTAGCTACAGTACATGTGGTGGAAAGGAAATGAATACACAATGAGTAAGTAATATCAAAACAAAACGAGAATCCCAAAACTAATGAGACCATAAACGAATACCAATATCAAATCTGGGGTGATTTGGAGTCTTGGCCAAATTACGTACGGGATAGCAATGTTACAGATGACAGTACGGGACAGTATGTGTAGTGTATTTAAGAATAATAATCATCATATTCAAGACTTCTTACAAGGGTCTTCAAACTCTAATGGTATCTTTAGCCATTGAGAAGTCTAAAAATGCAAGTTGAAGCCCTTGAAAGCATCGAACACCCTCCACAACCAATTGCGGGGAAGGGAGTCTGTTCATCGGAAAGTATCCAACTACTTTCTGGGGTAAGATATAACGTCCAATCACAGTGAATCGGATCAAATTTTCCATGCAGCTCGAGTCTCGAGAAACCATTTTCGGTTGAGCTCTTTCTGTCGTGTGACTTCGTTAATTGAGATAGTTTCTTGGAATTGATGATATTTCAAGTGGATATCAAATGGGATGAATGGATCTCATCCCAACAACGTGGATCATCTTCATCACAATGGCTGGGCCATATTGACCGGCGGAATTGACATTCTTAGCTATCAGTATTCGGTCCGTCAGGTGAACATGATTGTATGAGATGCTGTAAGAACTTGAAGTGAATCGAGGTGTCGTGGCCAATTTTATAGGAATGTGGAGGTTTTTCAAACGAGAGGAGAGCTTGTCCTCGGCACGAACGGCGCTAAGATAACCTAAATTCAACCACGTGTAGCCAGTGTTCATTTGTGAAGGCGACAACGATATCTTACATTCTTCAATTGGAAAATGGTGCAGAAATCATGAAAGAGGTACATAAATTCTCAGTCGTACCTTCATGTCATATATCACATGCATGCTGTGTTCAGAACGGGTTGCAAAGTTACCATGGAATCTTGACCAAAACCTATCCAATACACAGAACGATTATGTACCGAATGTGAAAAACCCCGCCGCACATGGCTGACGCCGAGAAGGGCATTTTTCATGCATTTCAAGACTCGACATACTTGGCGCATTTATCATCGGTCCGAAATCGTTATAGCTATTCGTCTCCTTGCTTCACTTCATTAACTTGGAGGTTGTGTTGTGGTCACACAGGAATATTGTCTTCTTCGAGGCTAGTACATGAAATCGTTTCGCAGTGATATTACGATCTCTGCAAAATCAATCCTGATTCCTGTATTGTCAATTTTCATAGGCAAAGCCCTTTAGAGTCTATACATGAGCATACCCATGATTGGTTTGTCTTGGCTTTGTTCCAGTGGCGCAAACCCAACGATTGCATGGCAATGGTCATTTATGATATTTCCACAGCATATTGTTGTACTCGGCGAATTCTCTATTCATAGATGTCTCTTCAGATTCAGATCCAGATCCATTTTGATTTTGTCTCCTATTTTCTCTTCTGCTCGTTAGAAAGCTATGATGCGAGCAATTACTGCATCGTGCTCTCCAAACCATGGCATTATAGCCGGTCCGACCAAACATTCTCTCTTATTGTTACATAGCGGGAGCTGCTTCAAAGTTTCGTATGAATAGCCAATGAAACTTGCTACCAGTACCTCAAATACAAACGTAGGTCGTCTCGCGAAAGATCCAAACTAGGACGTCGATATTTCGATAATTCTTTGCTCAACTCTTTTTGGCCATGGCCGCTGCATTGGTTGAATGATTCACCGAGTATAAAATGGCCCAAAAGTGCAAAGAATTTAGAATATGAAATATCCAAGTGGATGTAGATACTGAGGAGTGAAATGATAGAAACTTATGTTTATCGCCGCAATGGCCAGTAGTTGTGGAGAGTACCAAGGGTACTACTTGAATCGTGCCTGGAGATCTTGGTTAGTTAGTTTAGCTATCTTCCTACTTGATTTTGGGGATTGTCTTTTTGAGGGTGATCTTGTAAGCGTGTTTGACGTGAATGAAACTAAATATCTTAGAATAGGTGAAGACTCTTGAACAGTCAAAGACTATTTACCAATCGAGAGCTCTGACAGGTTAGAAAGGCCCTGAATATCTAATATAATACAAATATAAAGGACAAAAGTTGTCTCGCTGCTGGAATTTAAACTTGATTCTTAGATAGTCCAGTGGTAAGACTACAATTTGCTGTGTTGCATGGTCAGCTCTACGATGTAGAGAGTGCTCGAATTTCAATTATTCTTCGAGAGCGTCTCTTGGATAGTACCAAGAGGTTCTTGTGAAAATCTTCTTATCCAATTCAGTCACACATCATGTCCAAATCTATGATCATGTAACTGCACACTTCATGATTCTTAAAGCTACCTCCTTCCCAATACTATGTTTCTTCCTTCCAGTATAGAGTTTTAGCCACTGGCATCCTCCCCTCTCACGCTTTTTTCGGCTTCTTTTATTATGCCGATCTTCAGCCATATCATTGACTACCTGATCATCTACTGGCTCCACCTCTTCCTCAATTTCTGGTCCCGGTGTCTCCAACCACGTTCCTCTTTCCATCAAACCCCCATTTTCCAGCGCCAAAGCGTCCATCCTATTACCTAGACTTTCAATTTCGCCTCTTATTAATTGTTCGTTCTCCAAATTCCTATTTCTTAGATTATCCACATCATGTATCAACTCATCTTCCCTCTCTGACCTTTCTGCGTTCCTTGTTTTGAGATCTTGAACTTCTCCCATCAGCCGCCGCTCCATCCCAATATTGTACTCATCCCTCCTCGCTAATTCTTCCATTACTCGTACTTCCATTTGAACGTTGTCCGCATCCCTTCTCGCTAATCCCTCCATGAATCGTAGCTCTATTTGAACGTTGTTCGCATTCCTCAAAACTAGTTCTTCCATAACCTCTCTTCTTAATCTTTCAATAGCCATGGCCGCATCTCTCAACCTCTCTCTTTGTCCCCTATCAGCTTCATCCATGAAATCCAAAACCTCTTCCCTCATCTCTCTCATCCCTCGGATCCCATTCCTCATCTCGCCCCTGAACCCCATAACCTCTCCTTCCAAATCAAAAATCTCCTGTCTTAAACCTCCGAGGTCTTCTCTATATTGTATGCCCTCAATACTCAGCCTCAAGACTTCTGCCCTAGTTCCCCAGAGGTCTCTCCTCGTCATCCTCAGCTCTTCCCTCACGGTCGTCATTTGCCCCCTCATTCCTGCAACTTCATCCCCTAGTCCTATAACTCTCTCCTCTCTCTGTCGCAATTCGGCCTGTAACCCCCTGACTTCCACCCTCATTTCCCTCCTCATTCCTCTAACTTCATTCCCTAATTCTACAATTCTCTGCTCTTGCTGTCGCAATTCCGCCTGTACTCCCCTCACGACCGCCCTCAATTCTGAAGTCTCTTCCATCACGTCCCTCATTTCCTCTCTTATTCCTACAACTTCGTCTCCTAGTCCTACAATTCTCTCCTCTTGCCGCCACAATTCCGCCCGTACCCCTCTAATTTCCTCCCTCAATCCTGCAACCTCTGCTCTTGTAGGCCCCGCATCTATATCCCCTCGAACTCGAACCTCAAACTCATGTTTCCTGTCATAGTCATGGAAGCGAAAGTGTACATCTGCCATTGCTTCGAATGGCCAGAGATCAAATGATGAATGGGCATATGGAATAGAGCGAATGGTAGAAGCCCTCCGTGTACGCTGTGCACGCTGTGTGTAGTTCGCAAAGTGTTATATTAGGGCATTCGCTCGAAATAGAAGACTAAACACAATCCTCAATGGCTGGAAGTAATACAATCGTCCAAACAAATCCAGTGTTCCATGATATTTGAACCATCCAAAGATTCAGAATCTGTAAGCCTCTAATTATCGAATTGCAGGTCGGACTATTGGAAATTAGAATCGTATCGTCTCCGAAAATCTAAGTCGTCGCGTTGGTGACCAGATCGCATTTCATCGAGCACATTTGCCTCTTTGTCTATACACATTGCACAGAGTCAGTAAAGAATCTAGTGACTTCCAGTCTCGGGAAAAGAAAGGAACAAGATGTGCACATCTCATTCCATACAGGAAGGAGCAACAACCAGGAAAGTGCATCTATCCATAACCCACACTTCAACTCCATATTGTCAACTTTCGAGGAGAGAAACTGTCCTCTTACCTATCAACTAATTCATTCGAGCACCGAAAGTAATCCAATCAACTGTGAACCAGACCTACACCACTCAACTTTCTTCGTTTTTCTTTTTTCTCCGTCAGAGTCAGAGGTGCGATACATCATACATACACACATATCATTCACCCTCCATCACCCCCCGCCGATTCCAAATTCCCAGACCTACCCGTGACAAATTCACAGCAACGTACCTATCCACCCATCCACCCATCTATATCCCTCGCCCAGAAATCCAAATATGTACATGTATCAACAACACACACACCACTCACAAAACTATTTCTCCTCATCGATCAATGCATACATACATACAAACTAGATTCAGTACCTCCACAGCACAAATCTTCGAATCCTAGCATTCCCGTACCTGCGCGTATCCGATACATCATTACCATCCCTCTTTTCCACGTAGTGTCCCAGGTCTCCTAATTCGCTGGAGACTGTCAATGACTAGCCGCTACACCCTCCCTAATTACATCTTCACTACTACCCTGCGGACCCTTCTTTCCAAGTTTCTTCTTGATTGCTCAATCTCATCTCCTCTTTCCAGGAAGCACCGCTGATCCCCCCAGCGCAGCTACCCGGATCTCTTTTCCTTGCTTTCTTTTTCGTTTTCGTTTCAACATCCCATCTCCTCAAATCTCCAACTACTAATCCTCCCTTCCTAATTCGAGTCCCCAGTTTCCTAGCATCGATTCCAATTCACCTCATCTCACTTCTCGCCTTCCCCCCTTGCTCCCTTCCTCCCTCCTTCTCACCTTTCCAACTCTCAAAATTCCATTCTCCTCTAACTAACCATCCGCCAAAAAATAAATCCATCCACAAATCTTCCCACCACTCCACCCAATCTGCTCAATCCCCTCTCCTCGAAACTTGACACCCCTCCACGCATATGTGCGTACCCGTCCACCACTAATATTCTCCGCTTGTGGAACGCCTTGTGGAACAATGACTGTTATCACGGGATGTTGCAGAGATTGTCGGATCTCAGAAGACTTTTGGCGCTTATCTCGCTGGTTGTAAATTCGAGTGACTGGGATAAATTGTTCATTGTTTGAGCAGCTTTCCTTCTCGAGATCAAAATACAAGGTATGTGAAATGTGTGTACTATTCATACTCTAAGGGCATATTGAACATTCAAATCTAAACTAATATTCAAAGCTCACACATGCAATCAGTGTAAGTACATCATCTCAAATCTTCGACCCTAGAATACTCAACGCCCATTTTCCCTTACTCCAAGCTCCAACCAGGGGTATCATCACAATTCATCATTATCACTTTCCGTCTCTGCCTCCATCTCAACCTTTGCCTGTTCTCTCGCCCTCTTCATTCTCTCCACAACCTCATCCTCCGCTTTCTGCCTATCCAACTCCTCCAACCTCTCTCTCCTCTTCAAATAAAATCTCTCCAAACAATCCGTCCTCTGTTTCTGCGTCCATCCCTCCACCACAAAAGCAAATTCCGTCGCACTAGAAAACCCAAATGTTTTCGCCATCGTACAGAACTGTCTCTTCATAACCTCCACTGGGGGATGAAATTCATAACGTATATTTCCATTTTCCGCTTGTCGTGACATGGGTCCAAAGAGTAATTCTTCACCATATCCAATTTCACCTCCTGTTTCCTCTGCTCGACGACTTAATCTTTCTTCTACTTTTGACGAGCCGACTACTTCTGAGTTTTCGTGCGTATATTCCACGCCCGCTGATGCTAGTATTGCGGCTATGGGATCAGATTTTGGAGTGGGTCTCTTCATGCGCTTGATATCTTCTTCGTTTTCGGTTATCAGAGCGGCAAGTTGACTCATGGCGCCATCAGGATCATCATCATCCGCGCGAAGATTATCGTCATCATCAAGTGCTGCTTGCACATCAAAACTAGCCATGGCGACTCCTGCTTTTGTCTCCGCAACGTTAGTTTTATTGACAATATCTCGAAGTAGGATTTCATCCGCGTGAAAAGATAATAGATTATCTAATCCGAAGATCTCTCCTTTTTGGCCAGCAGCATTTTGTACACCCTTAAAATACCGACGCTCCATTGAAGCATTGTATCCAATGTTAGCTTGCTGTTGCTTGTAAATTTGGCGAGCATAAACGATTTCTTCTATAGTCCCAGCGGAAACAAGTCGAAATGAGTCTACATCTCGGAGCTGACCTATTCTGTATGCTCGATCTTGAGCTTGCAGATCATAACTGGGGTTCCAATTAGGGTCGAAGATAACAACCTGTAAGATTAGTCATTGCTGGGAAGTGTGTCAATGGATGAGACTTACTTTATTAGCACTGGTGATATTCAAGCCAACGCCTATTAGATATGGTCAGTTTTAAAAAGGACCAAATTTGGATACCAGAAATCTAACAGATATGCAACATAAAATACAATTAAGTAAAAAAAGTAAACGCACCTCCAGCCTTAGTTGATATCAAAAAGATAAATTGATTGGGATCAGAATTGAAATCATCTACCGTATCCTGACGATCTTCATACTTCATTTCGCCGCTAAGGAAGCTAACATTATAGCTAGTACTCTGGAACAAATGTTGAAGCATCCTCAATAGCTTGACACTATGAGAAAAGATCAAAACCTTATCTCCTTCCTCGTGCCAATGTTTCAATAACTTCTTCAACACTTTCCACTTCCCACAAAATTCGGGGTTTGACAGATTTGCAATTGAATCTCGAGCTTTGTATAGTTCCTCCCATCTGTCGGGTAACATCAATTGAAGGAATTCTAGATCCCGTTCTTGCTTCTCTCTAGGATCCCCGTCATTAGGTAGAAGAAGAGCCAAGTGGTTCGATAACTTCTGAAGTGTAGTCATGATAGGAAATACCATAGCCTGCCATTTCGTGTTGGTACCAGGTATCTTAGAATAACAACAGCCGCCACGCGATAAATTTTTGCCATTGCCACAATCGCAAGGCTCGCCATGGTTTCTGACAAATTGTACGACATCACTTTCAAGGAACCTCTCGTATGCTTCTCGTTGAAGATCAGTAAGCGGACATGGTAACAATCGATCCGTCTTCCTTGGAAGTTGATGAGCGATCAAAGTCTTCATCCTCCGCAAAAAGAAATGAGGCATAAGGTTGTTAACCAACCTCTTCGCAGTCTCCCTAGCCCGTTTCACCTGCTGAGTAGTAGAGTCGTGACTTTGTCCAATCCTTAGAGGTTCTGAGATGGTCGAGACCCAAGTAGCCAACGGACCAACCTTTCCAGGTGAGCACCAGTTGAGCAGCGTCCAAAGCTCTTCGTACTTATTTTGTATAGCCGTCCCTGTAAGTCCAATGCGACACAGAGCATTTATTTCATTCATTGCCTGAGTCGTAAGAGATGTCCGTTCCTTGAGTTGATGACATTCATCAGCCACAACACAATCCCAAGAAATGGTATTCAGGGCATCCTTGTGGTTTTTGTATGTTGCATAGGTAGTAATGACAATTTCAACCCGACCAGATTGCGCACTCCGAAGTACGAATTCTTTCTCCTTCACACCTCCATGGAATTTTTCGACGTGCCACCATCCCCATCTCATCAATTCATTCTTCCAGTTTTGTATCAAGGAACCAGGACAAACAATTAGTACTCGAGGATACCATCGTTTTTCGGCGGCGTTCTTCACTTTTCGCATACGTTTTCCATCTCGCTCATCTCCTGTCTTGCCAAACGCAGCAGTCAGAAAAGCAGCCACTTGTACGGTTTTCCCCAGCCCCATGTCGTCCCCTAAGATACCTCCTTTCTGATAAACAAACTTTTCATGAAGAAATTTGACTCCATCAACCTGATAATCTCGAAGATACTGTGCAATAGATGCTGGTATGACACCATTGGATAACTTCATATTGATATCTGCATAGGGTCTTGATGGCTCCACAGTACTAGGAAAGTCCGGACGTTCTTCAAGCTCTGCCAATCTCTCATCGTCCGAGAAATATATATCGGAATAGTCAGGAGGAAGTTGAAGGCCGGCGCTCCTCATTTTTTCAAGATTGGTATCGAATTCCTTCCGCCTTACTTGTAAATATTCGGGGATTTCATCGTCCATTTCGTAATCCGAATCGTCGCCCCATACGCTTTCATTTGTTTTGGACGAACCTCCTTTCTCCTTCGCCTGCTTCGCATCTTTTGCTCGCTCCTTTATCCGTTTCTTTTGTGCATTCAGCTTCTTGCGTTTCTCGGACTTCCTCTTCTTGAATTTCTCGTAAGGGTTTTCCTCTTCATCATCGTCTGACCATTCCACTTGCTCAAGAGCTTTACGTTTGCCTTTCTTGTCAGCATCGGAGGGTTTTGATTCGAATTCGTTATCATCCTCGTCGTCGGAAATTGAAAGGACCTCTGAAGAATAATTAGTGCATTTATTGAAAATACTTCTAATCCACCCACCATCTGCCAGTAGTGCCTTTATTTTATCAGGTCTCTGCTCAAAACCCTCATCTTCTGTGCTCACGTCATCCTCGTTATGCGCAGTGCGAGCCATGATATGATCCTGCTGGAATGCAATCTAGACCCTCGATGCTATTGCTACCGAAACGCCACAAACGTATCGTTTATAGAAGAGGATCTCGAATTAAAACTAGTGAAAATAATTTCATGAATTGCAGACGAGCATTCAAATCAACAAAGTTGATTTCATCAATAATCAACCATGAAAGAGAATTAGAGAAAGATTGACGCGTTTCGAGTTTTGGTACGGCTTTTCGCAGTCAAGACATCGTTGAATGCTGCAATTAAAAACATCCATTTCTAAACCGAACCTCCTGTCATTATCTGTCTCCCCATTACTCGTCTTTCATTTTCTCCAATGCATGATATTGTTGTCTGCTCTGATCAGTTCCGTTCAAACAACAAGATAAGAAAGCGCAGCATCTTCAAAACTAGGGGGATTTCCCGTCGCGTGAACACGTGATACAGATTTCTGATATCTCCCTTTCGTTCATGGCATTGTATCTCTCCAGCCCTACGGCGCTGCATCGATATCCCCTCGAAAAAGTCTCAAACTTTAATCCAAGTGACAAGTGTAAGTCCTCCGATCTACTTAGGTGCCTTGGTATATGATACTCACATATAGCTTTAGCATCAAAACAAGATTTCTCTCGTGTGACCCCACATACGAGATCCCGCACCATCCAACACCCAGAATTTATTTCCACCGGAGACAATCTCCTGTACAATATACAATATATAATTTCAAAATCAGATAATCATTATTATCGATTGAAATATGGATAAATATATCAATAAAACGTCTATAATTTGTCACATTTCATATTCTATTTACAGTTAGATAGAATTTGATTTATCATCAAGTCAAGCAAGTATCGAAACATCGATAGGTGTTGATATCCCAATTCTTCCTTTCAGCCGAAGCTTATCAATCATACCAACTTACAAACGTTTATGCACATTGCACCAACCTAGCTTGTTGTACAGATCTTCCTTCTTTTTGCTATCATCTCATATAAGTTAGCATAACGGGCAGTTCAATAGAGTTTGTTAGGGTGAGCCGGAAAAAGATCTACATTGCATGGCCAGCCAATTACGAAGATTAGTGATCTCGTAAATACACTCATCATTCTATCTCCGTCTTTATATGTACCTCTTCCTATTTATTTTCTTTGAAACCACTACATAGTGGTTTTAAAGTTCGCCACAATCTCGATCCCATATATATGATAAAGTTTATTATACTCGAAGTGGTGGCACCGTGGGTGACGTTTCATTTGGCCACTTTGATCCTAGGGCTCTTAGCTACCGTGGGATGACGAACGTTTCAAGTCATCATTTCATCTCCTCGTTTGTACAGGAATTAAGTTTCAATCTCAACTATGTCCATGTTCCCCACCACAAATGTCCTTGGTATTTGCATGCCTCCATGAACCATTTGTAGTCTAACAACGCCTATGCTCCGTAAACTATTCTCATTAAAACACGTAGGGTCCTTGCAATCCCATTTCCCCCAGTCCGGATATTTTTACCAAAGGTGCTAGTTCGGGATATCTAGCAGCAAATCTCTCGTCCAAGCTCCAGTTTGACAGAGTTTTGATGTGATTCTCAAATTCTTCTGTAACAAATATATCATCGCCTTCGAACCTGAACGCCTCCAGATCCGGACGTGGCCAATTCGCGTTGATGCAAAGTATATATGCATTCTGAAAATCTTCGTTGGCATAAATATCTTGCTTTTCAATAACCCTATCTTTAAGTTTGCCCCAGAAAATGGAATCTGCCCACAAGGGATGAGGCGTGATGAGCTGGGATGTTCGTGGTGAAGTCCAATCTGTCAAATTTCCGTAAGTCGACGACGAGGGATAGATTTGCCATTGGCAAATGTGATACATTAGATAGAGGCAGCCTGCACGTTCGGCGAGACCTTTAACAGCAAGGTTTGTAAGAAGATCCGAAATGATTGTAGAGACCATGTGGGTCTGATTTGGGTCATCGGGGTAGATAAGCGCCTTCATGCTAGGCTGAGGAGGTCCAATGATATGAGCTTCTGGTGCTCCCTGTCTCGCGAGTTCTTTTTGTGCATTTATGATATTCATTAGATATGTGTCAACTCCACACGTTGGTGTCGATGTGTTGAGTATGGGTAGAGCCCAAGGCTGAAGTGACTGAAACGGCGGCAAGGATGGCGGTATTGCTTGTCTGACTGGGGATGTAAGACTTTGTGGTACTAAAGGCCGCGGCCGCGGGGTAGCTAGGCGGGGATCTTGAATGGCATCTGATGGAACAGATCTAGGAGCCCAATTTCCTACTATAAACTGTCATTACTTTAAACTTTCCAAAGAAACTGAACTTTAAAGAAAGAAACAGGACTGCGATACCATCATTGAAATTCACAGCGGGGATCGGATCAAAATATGAAAATCGATTACCCTCATCCAAAGCACTGGTGGAAGCTGGCCCGGATATTGGTGCTGCCATATCCATAGGCCCAAAAGACATGCTGAATGAGTGCCTGTTAGTACCAGATGGATTTCTCGGAGGTAGTGGTTGGTACCACCCTGCTCCGGAGCTAATAGACCTAGTTGAGGCCATTGCTGGACTGATATCTCGTGCTGACGAACCAGGCATACTAGCAGGTTGTCCAGGATTCAACATAGAAGATCGATCCGGACCTTATGTGGCTTAGGGTTAGCCTTAGGATATGATAACTCATAGGAGAAGTTAAAAACTTCAAAGCATGTCAAAATCACACACATCCAGGCGACATTGAACAAGCAACTATTTCGCGATGTCCTTGACATATTCTTCCATATCTGGAATCACTTGATAGCACCAACTTTGACAGCTGAGGATTTAACAGACACCTTGGCCTTCCCCCCCCCCCAAAAAAACCATGAATACGCGAAGAGGCTCGATTTCAAAAATTTGACTGAAAATGAGAGAAAATACAATGTGCATACGTACTCGAACTATCATCATCCCTCAACTGTGCCAGACTTTCACTCAACTGTTTTACTTCTCGCTCTAATGCTTCATTGCGCTTCCGCACCTCTTCGAGCTCTTCACCAGGTTCACGACCGCAGGTAAGCTCTTCAATACGGGCCTCCAATCTCTCAATATGCTCCTACATCTCTAGTCAACAAACCAATTCAATGAGTAGTAGAAGTAAGACCTGGTCAAGTATCTCAACCTGAGGTTGAAATGGACCAAGAAGTAGTTTTCCGCACCTTGGTTCTCAATCTAATGTTCCGCTGCGCTTCACGGTCATTGGCTCTTTTCCTTGCTAGCCTGTTACAAATTAATCAACAATTTTCAATCAAAGAATAAAGGCAGTGTGTTGGATCCTGCTCGACAGCATCACATCAAGGAACTATCATGAAATTCTGTACGTACTGGGCAGGGCTTAGAGTTGAAACACTGCGTGTTCCAGCACGTGATACTATGAAAGTTAGATGACATCTCGAATTGAACATATGGCTATGACATCGGTTCTTGTACATTTGCCCGACTAATTCGTACCTCGTTTCTTTTCACCGGCTTTCTTGCTAGTTGCATTGATCGAGTCTGAATGGTTCATTCCATCTACATCGGTCCCTAATGGTTCGTTGAAGCCGTGGATTGGTTGAGACATGATTGGAGACTTTGTAGATGGTTGCGAGAGAAGATTATAACACAGATTGAATGTTCCCCTGGATTTCCTCGTGACCCATGGGTCGTGTCGTTTGGGGTACGTGCGTTGCTTTCGAATCAATTTCCGTCAACGTGAAAGCTGGCTGCAGATATATGTATTTATCAACGTATGAAATCTCGATTGCAATGGTAAAAACAAGATAGAACAATTCCTACAATGCTCAACTTTCACAGAATATAGATGGTTGTAGATTTGACTTGCGGTAGTTCGGAGATCTGAAAATCACCTACTCGGAAACGTCGTTCGAGCTTGCTTGTGAAGTTACTTTAAACTCTTCGCCACAGCAGAGGATAACAAGACTTGAGGGGCCAGACTGCGGATACGGAAGTCGTACCGATTCCAAACAAGATGAATCAGTATATGATATGTTGCATATAAGGATGAATTGTGAGATAGAAGATTAAAGAAAGTTTGGGCGGTCCGTAGTTACTCTACTGTAAGTACCCAAGTAGTGAGCTAGTGCCAAGATGCACGAGTTTTGGCTCCAAACTACTTTGACTGGTAGTGCAGGTAATTATGGCGTGGCGCAGACGGATTGTGAGCTTGTGAGGAAGCTTGAGGGGTTTTGAAGAAATTCGAACGAGATCGAATTTGAAAATTAAAGTATAATTAACTCAGCCTTGGTAGACGGTACCAGATACCTAGCATAGCATCCAAAGCCCGAAAGCGAAGCTATCTACATTAGAGTATTTCCATTTGTAGGTTACTCCTAGGAATCTAGGTGAACGATGTAGGTAGGCTTGAACGGTGGGTGGAAGGTAGTATGTACGGTGGTAGAGTTTTACCAATGAAACTCCGAGGATAACATCTCGTATGAGCGAGGTCAATGAACTCAATCGAGCTTGACTTGGATGTACGGGGAAAAAAAGGTTCGTTTACAGAATTTCTAGAACTAATAGGTTAGAGGTTCATGCCGTCCCTTCTGCGCACCGTATATACACATGTGTTATGTACTTCGTCCGTATATATTCTCCTTAATTGATTAACTCGACATTCCGTACATAAATCACATCGGCTTATAACTTTACCGGGATTCAAGCACTCAAATTGGATTAGATGTTCCAACAACTAATAATGCATGCAATAGTCCGAGGTCCCCTAGTGTTGGGATCATTGAGTAACTCTTCTAGCGGTGACTATGATAGTACTCCGTATAGTTAAATCAAATTGTTGTAGAATTTACAAATACAGATTTCAATACCTAGCAGTCTTGTGAACAAAATATCGATGTGATACCTAGGTAATAGTTCAATATCTTTCATGTTCGCATGTGTCAGAAACTGTACTCGAGCATTCGTTTCTGTAGTCAGCAGATAGTAACGATGCTAAGAGCCAGGTACTGATGAACCCGCAGTCATGACAACTACAACAGCTAACTCTTGAGGCTTCCTGGGGACTCTTGGAGGATCCAGGTTTTAAAAATCCTTCAAATGCAACGGATTACAGAAATGGATCAAAATTTATTAACAGACTCAAAGATCGGCATTTCCGAATCCGTGCGTTATCACACGTGGGCGTTGGGGCCAGTTCGATCTTCCGCGGCATTACTGGGAAATTCCCGGAAGGATGATAGCAACATCTTATCGCCCTCACTAAAACCTGCAATCAGAGTGGTAGAAAGAAGAAGTGAATTGAGGAGGAGGTCTTTGCGTGAGATTGGCTAGTTAAGTGGAGTATGAGATCATCTCTCGTACTACTTCTTTTAGACAATTATACTTCCTTTACCCACATTAAAACAACCCGTCTTCCGTGATGTGCAGCGACAATAGGCTTAGCTTTCGAGGTGTGGTGGCTCATGCAATTTCGGGGTTGTCTTCCTTCACTGCCTCAACTAATTCTTCCATACCTCCAACTTCGGTTGGTCCATCCATACCGTCAGGAGGTAAAGCCCAGGCTGGGAGAGGACTCACATAACTCCAAGAGCCTCCAGCATCTTCATAACGAAGGCTGTGAAGCCATAGAGACAGCTCCTGTTCACCAGGGTCGGTATATAATGGGGTCTGGCATACTTCACATAACTCTCCAGACATCTTCTCGGCTTTCTTCTTATTGTACTCGTCTACCATTTCATCATGGTAGGCTACAGCATCAGCAACTTCTGACTTGCCCATCCTTGAGAGACGAGTAATAATGTCTTCATCTGTATCCTGAGTTGCGTCCGAGTCATTTGCTCCAAGTCTTGTTCCCCATACACGTTGATTGCAATATATAGGATCGTTGCCAATAGGATGGCCTAGAAACTGTAGATGAACCCTGAGCTGATGCGTACGACCAGTGACTGGAAGGCATCTAACGATCGAGTAGCCTTCCTTTGTCGATTTATCTAGCTCTGTCTGTTCGGAGTTGTCTTCAGCTTGTTCTGGAGGATAATATGCCAGGCGCTTAAAAACCGTGCGGGCAGCTTTACCATTTGCCCTCACACGATTCAAGCCCAGTTTCGGAGATATCTGAAGAATTGGCATATCACACACTACTTCTCCATCTGGAAACTTTCCTTTCACTCGTGCTATGTATTCTTTTCTGACAGTGCGTCCTGATATCTGTAAACTTAGTGCTTCTGCGGCCTTGGCGTGTTTTCCAATGAACATGATACCACTGGTTAGTCTATCCAATCTATTACACGGCAGTGGATTCCAGCCATGGCCGCGCTCAGCCCTCATGATTTCAACTACGGAATTGTAATTATATCGACCAGCTGGGTGAACAGGGACGCCAGAAGGTTTGTTAATGACAATGATGTCTTCATCTTCGTGTACGACTGATATTGGCAGAGCTGTCACAGGAGGTTCATGTCGATGTAAGGTATGTGATATAACATCTCCATTCTTGATGATTTGTGAAGTTGACTCGACCGGTTTTCCATTCACAGCGATAGCTCCGCGCTCCATAGCATCTTTCTACACCTGTCAGTAAGACGAATCATTATCTTGAATCATGCCGAACTTACGTAGTATTCTATTGGCCTATCTCGAAACTCGCTCGAAAATATATCCAATATTTCTCTTCCTCTCCATCTTTGTTTGCAGTATGTATTGTAGGTGAAATGGTACGGCGCGACTCTGCGTAACCCATTATCTAAATAATATGGTCGTGGCCATGGATCGGAAGGTGTGATCACGACTGCGGGGGGTTCTTGAAATGGTTTCTTCTCTTCCACGGGAGGATATCCAGCTGAAGTTGCGACGAGTGCCATGGTAGGATTCATTCTTCCAGCCCTGCGGGCCAAGAGCGCAATTATTCGAGGTGAAGGAGCCACTTGATCAGATTTGAATTAACTTGAGAGGTAACGCAAACGGCTGGTGAACGACTAATCGGAATTATGATGCGCAAGTTCAGATCAATTTAGAAAATTATGTTCTGCCCAAGGCGGTGTGTAGAGTTAATCATCAATCTAATGATTGCAGTACCTAGGCACCTGGCACTTACATGGACAACCTATTCCTGTAGAGCCCAGGGACTTGAACCTTTCAAACCAAAGTTGAGAAGATCCATTTCGGCGCATGATATGAACTTACATTGAGGATCCTTTGCTATTTAATGTCCAGCATTTCCAATAACACCACACTTTGTCTTGGAGTTGACTAGATTACTAGAACATTCAAACATACTTCGGCTGAAAACAAATCTCCTGCTCCCGTTCTCCTTCCCAAAATCCATCCCTTCCGAACCTCTCACCCCTAATATATTCTCTTTGATATCTTGAGAAAAGAACTAAACACTACTCAACATGCCACACGAGGAGCTCAAGAGAAGAAGACGAGAGGATTATGGCTACGTTTTGGAATATAGAACACGCTGGTATGGTGTCTTCACGTCTTCACGCCGTAACACAGATCGCAACATGCTGACACAAGATTTGGAGGTCTGATAATGACATGTATGACCATATGAACAACAGCATTTATAACTTCCTGTAAGTTCCATCGAGAACAGTAGGTATAGTCTATGGCTAAGACGAGAGAAAGGTACGATTCAATCGTAAACTCATATCTTATCGAACATTGTGGTCTGCATCCACCCACCTCATCTCAGTACGGCCTAGTTGTGCACTCCCATGGTGATTTCTTTGGTTCAATCGCATTTCCAGCTGTCGCTGATCTAGCTTTACGTGTCAACAAGCTTGGGAATAGCAGTGTTACTTACGAAATCGGTCTATTCGAGAGGGGAGTTGAAGAAGTCAAGTCAGTGGGTGAAATTATTCACGTGTTTGTTGAAAGAGAGACTGGCCGACCAGCAACGCGGGGTATGAACGACGCAATCAAACAAGGACTCCAAAAGATCCTCCGACCACGGCCAAAACTTTAATCATCTCAAGTTCTCAACAAATGCTCTGATTTTACGTCAACTCACTCATCCAATCAGCCTCGCAGCCCCGGCTGCCAAGAAGTGCTAAGAGAAACCGTTCTACAGATCACAACACGAGATTCTCGATACAAGAAAAGAAGCATCTCACTACACTCCCGTCGCCAATGCTAATAAGTGTCCCGTTGTATTGGGAATACTAAAACAAAAACGGAAATTTCGCTATCTGCATAAACCCCGAACCAATGAAAGTAGATATTGTCTATGAGCGTCGGGTCGGGGAAACCTCGCATGTATGATAATATCCATATGCACATGCTAGTCCGTATTGTCTCGGGATAGATACACGCGTTACTAGTTCAATGTATCATCATGATATGTTGGCTGAGAGGCTGACATATCTCATTGTATCTGGGCAACATTATTGAGAGTTTCTTGGAGCGGGACATAACGGTAGACTCACTTTTCCACTCTTGGCAATGAGGGGGAAGTATTTCAGAGTAGATCAAAAATCAAGAGTCATGTAAATTGTGTTAAAGAATCCGGTTAAATTGCGGAGTCTTCGGCTAACTTCCCCAGTAAGATCAACAATCCCCGCATTCTCGTCGGCACTGCTACTCCTTGTTAATGATCGCTCCTTTACCCTTCCTCCCCGCAGAGTTCCCCCGTGAAATAGCAAGTGATGCAATATGACAGGCACTGATAAGCAATCATTACTACCAAAGCAGGCATAATGACTGGATACACAGATTTTAGATGTTGATGATCATGATCATGATCATGATACCTCATGACTTGTCATGCATATTCACTTCTTTACCCCAATGAAAATATGCTAATGATTATAAGGCGTTCTCTCTATCTAGCTGGCATTCCATCAAGCTTTTCTCAATGCTGGATGCTTTGGTCTGTGATATCAAACTTTAACTTGGCTTCTCTCATTTTGGACGTCCACCACAAGATCTCGACTCTGTGATACATTTAATACCTCACACCAGGAGTAGTGTACCTAGGTAACATAACCACAGATCTGATATCAGAAAAGCCTCTCGAGTCAGCTATCTCATAAATACAGCAACAAAGCGACTCAAGTAACGAGACTATGGCGTCAAATGTCAAGGCACAGTCGGATTATATAGAAGATGTCGACAAGGACGATTCGACGACATCAGCTGCGGTAATAGATCCCGGTCTTCGAGTTCTTGAACCGCCAGAATGGATCGCAGCATTGTCTCCGGAAGAACGCCTCAGTATTGAAGCCAAACTCAAAAGGAAAATCGATCTGAGATTGTTACCTATGGTCATTCTGATGTATATCATGAATTATCTAGATAGGGTGTGTTAATTGCTCCAATTATCATATATCTCCAAAGTTTACTAAATCATGGTAGAACAACATTGCAGCAGCGCGATTAGCAGGAATGGAGGAAGATTTGAATTTAGTGGGAGATCAATATCAGGTATGCAGTAATTTATTCATAGGTGCCAAAAGCTAATCTCCATAGACTTGTGTTAGCATCCTATTCGTAGGATACCTCCTCATGCAAATTCCCTCAAATTTATTCTTGAATAAGATAGGTAAACCAGCAATATATCTTCCGGGAGCAATGATGATTTGGGGTGTGATATCAGGTGCAACAGCTGGTACTCAAAATTTCGCTGGTCTTCTCGTTTGTAGATTCTTCCTCGGTTTTATAGAGGCTGCTTATTTTGTAAGTTTAATGCGTGTGGCTATTTGATATATTACAAGCTCTAACACTACACAGCCTGGCTGCCTTTACTACCTCTCATGTTGGTATACCCGCAAGGAATTAGGTTTGCGCACCGCACTCCTTTATTCCGGATCCCTCATTAGCGGAGCCTTCTCGGGTCTCATCGCTGCTGGTATCACGGGTGGTATGGATGGAGTCCATGGCCTTCTAGCCTGGAGATGGCTTTTCATTATTGAAGGTGCAATCACCGTTGTCATTGCCGCTACTGCCTACTTTATCCTACCCAATTTTCCTCGCACCACAGCTTGGTTGACAGACCGGGAACGAGAATTGGCCGTTTGGCGTTTGGAAGAGGATGTGGGTATGGACGATTGGGTCGACAGCCATCAGCAAACTTTCAGACACGGCTTGAAACTCGCATTTACAGATATCAAAACTTATATCCTGGTGATAATCTTGTTTGGTATTGTTTCAGCTGCATCCGTTACCAATTTCTTCCCGTAAGATTCCCCATGTCCAATACAATCCGAGACAACAAAGTCTAACACATCCCAGAACCGTCGTCGCTACTTTAAAGTACGGCCGTATTCAATCACTCCTTCTGACTGCTCCCCCTTACGTCCTCGCCCTCTTCACCTCCATGCTCAACGCGTGGCACGCCGATAAAACCGGCGAACGCTTCCTCCACGTTGTCATCCCGCTCTGTTTCGCCTTTGTAGCATTCATCCTCGCCGCCGCAACCACAAGTATTGCTCCTCGCTATCTCGCTATGATGCTGATGGTTCCCGGCTGCTACACCGGTTTCGTGGTCGCCCTCGCTTGGATCTCCAACACGCTGCCACGCCCTCCTGCCAAGAGAGCAGTTGCTTTGGCTTTCATCAATGCAGTGAGTAACGCGAGTAGCATTTACTCAAGTTATATGTATCCCAGTAGTGCGGGCCCGCGATACGTGGTTGCGATGAGTGTTAATTGTGGAATGATCTTTATGGCGATGTGTGCGGCGTTGGTGTTGAGAACGATGTTGGTGAGGTTGAATAAGAAGTTGGACAGGGGAGAGGTGGTGGATGGAGCGGTTAATGAGGGCACGGTGGCGGCGGGTCAGAGGGGTTTTAGGTATAAGGTTTGAGGGATGGGATTTGAGCATGGAAGTGAATTTATAGCATAGGATACGGTGAGAGGTAATCTTGACCTCAATCTTCAAACTCGGAGTTCGAGGAAGGAATTACAAACAGCGAGTATCTATCAAGACAGAAATGTCTCAGGATGGAACAATTTCAGTGCATTTCGCACACCAAACCTGGATATCATAATTCGTTCATATAGAAAATACATTAGATAGACAAATAGACATCAATTCTTCAACAATCAGTATTCTCTTCCCTTCCTTTTCTTCAAAACAACATGAGTGCGTCTCTCATTTCCGTACTAATCTTCATCTCCTACACTCAAGATCAAGATCATAATCAAAATCCTCTAAGGATACCTAATTATATCTGCGTAAGGCCTTTTATACCACATGAATTATATACAATTTTGTATATTTCACCTTCCTCTCTTGCTCTCCTCTCTTCTCTCCTCTCTTCCTCAATTAGATATCAAATAATCTTGACATCCAATATCATTCCTCTTTTCTCTTCATATGTATATATTTCCTCTTCCTCTTCCTCTCTCCCCCATCTTTTACTCCCTCATCATCAACAATATAATACACACATACTACCCACTTCATTTTATACCTACATATAACATCTTTATAACTAATTTATCTATTCCTCTCTGTCTTTCTTTCTTTTTTCCCTCACTCTCACTCTCACTCTCATTCTCATTCTCATTCTCATTCTCATCACTAATCAATCAATCAATCTATCCATCTATCATCTATCCAACCCATCTCATAATTCATTACAAATTACAAATTATCCAACTACAAGACAATAAATCAATCAATAAACAGTCCTGTAATGTCCTCCTCTCATCCCTATTCCCCTCTCCCCTATCCTCCCTCCCCTTTTAAAACCCCTCTCCCCCCAAAAACTCATTCATAACTCTATACGCCTCCCCCGCCCCAAAATGCACATTAACCGCATGACCACAACTCTTCAACACATACGCTTTAAACCCCCTACTCCTCGGAAATGCCCCTTTAACCCCCTCCAAAACATTCCCTCCACCCGCCAAACAATTCCCCCCACAAAAAATCGCATCTTCATTCCCCGCCAACACCAACACCGGTCCCTCAAACTCCTTCGCCGACGACGGTTGCGCCGCCAACGTGAGGAGTTCTCCCGTCGTAAACGGTTGCTTATGTATTTCCGTATATTCCGCGATTTCCGGATCATAGTAAGGAGACGCGAGAAAATTAAATTGGTTCGCGCCGAGATTAGCCCAGGTGAGATAGCCGTCGGCGAGATCTTGGGCGTGGATGTTACCTGTATCTCTGTTTGAGCCGGCGGTGTAGAAACATCCTATTTTGGTAAATGTATTTTCGAGTTGAGAGATTGCGGAGCCGAAAAGAGAGAAGATGGAAGGAGAGCCAAATTTGTAAGGTTGGTTTACGGATGCGGATTGGATGTTGAATCCTGCGATTGTCTGGGGAAGTGCAGAACCGTCAAGGGAGAATCCTTGGAGAATGAGTCCATCTGTGATACTTGGATATGCAGAAGCGAGCTCATATGATAGGATTGAACCAAAAGAATGACCAACGTGGACAATCTTATTTGGTTCTGAGATATCGACGCCTGGTAAGTCACCCGCACGTAGTAATTTTGTCACTTCTACGATTGCCGAAAGCTCGGCAGGTGCTTGAATGACTGATGTTGGATCAGCCTTTGAGGATTCACCTATTCCAAGGCGATCGATAGCTAAAGTGCTATAGCCATACTGATCAACCGCAACATCCACGTATGAATAGTTGTAGTTGTTGAATGGCAAATCCCAATACCTGTATCCATAATCAGTACATATATCTGAAAAGACTAGTTTTGTGCTTACGATCTATCAAAGCCAATTCCATGAGTAAGGAATTGCCATGAATCAGAGTTGCTACTTGACTCGCTTGGTACACAAACAGTTGCAGCAATATTGTATTGGCCAGTTATTGTAGTGAATCCTGATAACGTAGATGCACTGTAATTTTGCCCTGCTCTCAGGAAATCTTGCGCGAACTTTGTTACGGCAATAGCATCAGAAAGAGGTGGAATATTAAAATTGCCATTTCGAGCATTGATCGACACTGGAATGGAAATATCAGTGCAAGACTTAGCTTCAACGAAGCTCAAGATAGCTGCTACGACAGCAGCAGAGAGTTTAAGCATGATTATGATTAAAAATTAGCGCAATAAATAAATGGTGATGAAGGGAAAACAAAAAAGAGTAGGAAAACGTTAGAGGTAGTCGGTAGTAATATAGGCACCGCATATCCAACATGTTGTACTAATTGCGATCTGCGGGCCGAAAGATTGAATCCAAGTAGTACCACCATGATGCTCACCACTCGGTGCGACTAACCAGTTTGCGGGTAAATGATCACCAACTTTTGGCAGCTAACTGCCTTCACTAAAGAGACCGTTAGGCATTGGTGTGCCCTTGATGCTAGAAAACCCTTGGGATATCGTCATACATGATTTGGAATGTGGTATGATCCTAGCCGAGATAGAATATCACACACGAGATGATAATCTGGCAGCTCTGAATGGAGATCAAGAGTTTTTTTTAAAAAAGAATCCCCTTCTGCTCCCATAAATACATTCATACCGTTCCTCACTCATTCTCGTGTTGATCTTCCGTAGTTGACACCATTAAAACAACCGGAGTATAAAATGTTGTGCAGGGACCTTGGACCCAGTTTTCTTGGCTTTGATCATAACGACAAACAAGGATTTTCGTCTTCCCCTAAGGAAAGTATCTGGTAAGATTGAATGTTCTCAAAACCAAGTAAACATGAGTAATCTTTATCGACATGGAGGTTCTCTTTAAAAATTCACGAATCCCATATGGAAACGTATCAGAATCAGCGGAAACGTGATGTTACATGATGTCCATTGATTAATGTAAGTATTTGGATCTCATGTCTGAATTGTCGAACTGGATCGATAAATCAAGAGCTCATCCTCAGCACCTGTAGCAATACAGCAACACAATGGGATCCTGCCAATTAAGCCTCGACTCCCAAGATATCTCAAGATTCTGCATATTATTACAATGAATTTTGAGATCGACGTTTTACGCCCCACTCCTTGAGATGACGAGATCCGCATGATTTATGACTCCTTTCGTATTGACATGAATGCTTTGATCAGACAGTGGAACGCTTTGCTGCTTGCTTTTCTTTATAGCGAGCGATCCATCGAGATATTTGAAGACCGATAAGACCAGATGCTACGATGAAGACAATGGCGAATACAACAATGACACCAGGCTCACGAGCTGCCCAGTTCTGTCTCTTAACAAGTTGTTGTGTCGCTTCGCGAATTTGGATAGTTGCCATTTTGATTGGTTACTGTAAATGGGATCTGTTAGTCCAGAGCCCGCAGGATTCAATGGTTGGAAGTTCAGATCAAATCTTCAATTTGAAAAGTTGCTTCAAGCGAAATATCAACATTGCAAATTTGATCCCCGAGTGGACTCAATGTTTAGATGTATGTGGACAGAGATACGTAGACTTTGTGTGGTGGCCGTCGTGCCGCAAGTGCTCCCATTAGATGGAAGGAGAAAGGCGCTACTCACCGATTCAATGCTCTGGGCTTGAAATGAATGGAAAACTGTATGAGGGTTAGTGGAGCCATTCGAGCTTCAAGGGTATCTGCGAGAGTATCACTCACGTTGAAGAATGGCCTCGTGGATGTTTCGACGATCAATGTTCGCGAGTAAAGAGTGGTTGTTTGGTCAATTGATCTAGCTTTTCAGTCGTCAATTCATGGTATCTTTGAGAGTGAACAATTCCCCAAGGGACATGATCCTGAGACCAGTGTTCATGTATATATAGATGGGTGGAGGCATTGCAAAGATGTAGGAATTATGGCAGCTCAACTGTGGAACTCGAGATTGAAATTTGAGATGATTCGCAACAAAAAAGCTGACTGGTCTATCTTCCATGCGGAAAGAAAAGGGGGGAAGGGATGAGGAATTTGAAATTTATAAACAAGAATTTGAGACATACCTGACAGATGTTGATTGTAAAGTCCCGGAGTATACGTGATGTGATATTATAATCTTTTGAACGACGGAGATTGATGAGGTGTCTCTTTTTGAAGACAAGATGAGAGAAGATTGAGGTAAGTAAAGACTTTTCGTGGTTTGTGTAATCATCGGAAAAATAATGAATTGAGTTGAATGGATCGATGAGGAAGTTGCAAACGACTTCAATTCTCACCAAAGTCACTGCTTTCAGAGTCGAAAATACTAAGAACATCAGGAACACCAAATCTTCAAGGATTGAATGAATGAATGAATGATACTATAAAATCTATCTTACTATCTTCTTCTGCCTAATAAGTCAATTGTTATACATGTTGCTCTGTAGTTTCCAAAGAGCCACTTGATACTCAACTTTGATGTATACCCGAGACACAACAATCATCATCTGTAGGTACCCAGGTAGCTTTGCATAGTCCTCGTATTGTGTGTATAGTATAGGCGATTTGGATTTTCATACCGGCCAATGTATCGACTACCAGCTCTGTCATCATATACAATTGTTCGAATTCTCAGAACTGTTGATATTTCTGCTATGGCTGATTGATTCTATCCAATCTGCAGTACCACCACCACTAATCGGGCGCAATTGAACTTTATGTGATGTGACGTGACAGAAATCACTCCAAAGCCCCAGCAATTCGATGTTCAATATTAGACTCGACATATTTTGCAATGCGTCGAAATCTGTGACTTGGATTACTAGGTAGAATCGATTGGTTCTGCCATCACGAGAGAGATACCAAGATCACGTTATGAGATTCACGAGACTCACGAGACTCTCAATCATGTGATGGTAATATCACGTGACATTTCCATCCCTCGGCACTTGAGTCCATAGGGTTCATATTCCTGGTGATCATCACACACAACTTGGGATATTTTTGGATCTGTTATCTTGCCTTGTCATCTACCTCGATCTTGTCATTAAACCCACCACTTCTCTCAATCTGATTTATGAAGTTCCGACCTGGTACACTCTCAAGGTCCTTTCAAGGTACACTTGCAATTAAAATGTAGCCATGGTGTGGTGGAGTGAATGAATGCATTCTCATCGATTCTCTTGGCGATTTCGAAACTTCTCCACTCCATAAGTTCTGTTCCAACATTATCGAATGAAGTCTGAACGACGACAAGCTCAAACATTGGACTTGTAAGAGAAGAGAGGAACTCTGCTTCGGAATTATGGGGATGGTGGTTTGGTGATTACGAAAAGATAAGGGTTCTATTTCATGTTGCGACACCCTTGACTTTGAAGAGAGAAAAGAAGAAGCAAAAATGGATTCTCATATCTCTTGGGGCAAGTTTAAGCACAAAGTTGATGTTGATGTTGATGTTGATGTTGATGTTGATGTTGATGCCAATGCCAATGCTAATGCTAATGCTAATGCCGTGTGAATTTTCATAATGGTTTTTGATTCATCATCGTGGTTAAAGGTTCTATATTTGTATGAACTGAAGTCTCAACACAACGGCAAATTTTAAAATTCACGCGTTAACCGACATCCACCTCTCTCAAGAGTGTCAACCTTGAGCTGACAGCAATGTGTGATTCCCCAAAGGTAAGGTGCCTCGAGAATACCTCCCTCGAGGTCCTAGTACCTGCCACATAAATGCTAAATGCTATGACTTACCTTGACACTGTACATCGATATCAGAATTCCCAAACATTTATCCACATTGTATTACCAGAGGGTTTGATAGCACCGGCACGTGTCAAAGCTCATAGATTCTTGTCGTCTGAAGGAAAGAAAGAGCATCAACAAAAACTAATAAGCGGCGGGAAGGGGAAATCGCGCGTGTCTCAAGGATGATGAATTTCAAGAACTAAGAATCCGAAATAACTATCACACAGCCAAGAAGTTATTATTCCTTATCTTATCTTCTTTGTATTTGCAAGATATTACTTTGTCGAAATTTGAATGAATACAGTGATCTATCAGGTAGGAGGTAGGAGGTAGGAGGTAGGAGGTAGGAGGTAGGTGGTAGGTGGTAGGTAAAAGGTAAAAGGTAAAAAGGTAAACAGATCGATCCATCTCTATCAAATCTCCATCACAATTTCAGTTGGACATGATTTGATACCAGCACCGTCGCCCCATTCCACATCTGCATGTAAGATTTCGTACTCGTGTTAGGTCTTGCTCTCATAATCAGACCTCGGAAATGCTACAAACGCCGGACTGCGAAAGCACAACATTTTATCTTATGATCGGAATTACTAGGGATGCCAACATGACCACTTTTTTATCCTTTGTAGTCAATCATCATCGTGGACTCTATGAGGCTATGACTTTACGACACATCGCATCGAGGATAGTGTGACTGCATGTGAGTCGATTGTAACAAATCACCATCCAGATATCCGTGTCATGGTGGAATTACTGGAGAATCCTGACCATCGGCACAATAGAAATAGTGGACAAAGGAATTTTCCAACGAGAGACTAGAGACCAAAGAAATCCTTAGCACTGGCGATATCACGGAATTTTGAGGGTCCGAATGCAGTGACATCTTACCGGGGTGAAAATTGCGTGCTGGGAGTCCTGGGACGACGTAAAAGAGAAATTGCATTAGCTAGGGAGTGACTCCGAGTGAGGAAGGTACTCTTTTCTATACTATAGAGTAGACGGAGGTACCAAGGTAGGTACTAGGTACGCTCCTTTGAACGATAGCAAAGCTCTCTCTCTCTCTCTCTATCGTAAAGTGATCTCTACTACCCACGAGACTAGGTACCTAGCTAATCGACTAACTACCGGTATACGAATGCACTCTCGATAAATAAGGAAACCAATCAATCGACCCATATCGGAAGGAATCCGTTATCGTTAGATCTAGATAGGTACACGATATATGATTACAGATTACCGGTAAATCGATGATACTAACAAGATCATTACAAAAAACTTGGGACTTGGATCTACCCCAATGACAACAATGCCGACAACACTTGTGAGATAAACTACTTGGTAGTGTACGTGCCATTCAACTATTACTCACATAGGTACTACTAGCCAACTACTATTGACGACTGTTACGACCTGCTACTACCATGTATGATGTACGAAGTACCTACTTCAGAAAGTCTAATTGTCGGCTTTCCCTCTAGTTCCCTCACTTCCCTGCCACCCGTAGTCCATTCATCTTCTGTTCTTCTTCTCTAGCTTCCATACCTAGCTAGAGCTCGTCTAGACAGGAACGGCAAGATCCTTTTCATATTTAAAAACTAATCGCAAGCCCCTCGGTCATCGATTTAGATCGAAGAAATCGTATTCTTATCCACCGTCTTTATCAAATACAGACAGACTATACACAGTCCCGACTAGCCTCCCTAGTATCTAGTATATACCGGTATCAAGACCAGACAATCTTAAGCCACGGCCCACCTCTCAAGTGCACCACTGCTCAGTGTTCAAGTGCTCAGTGCTCTCTGCTCTCTGCTCTCTCTCATCCTCACCTAATCGGTTCCCCCTTCCAAATTGTTTATCAATAAAGGTATTCCACCCCCCTCCCCTCTTCTCCCCTTCACGGTCGTCCCACCCATCGATTACATCCACCACATCTGTCACACAAACCTTGTTCCTCTCTTATTATATTCAAATCCCCCCCATGGCACCCTTCTACAATGCTTTCAGAATGATCCGTAAACGTCGATTCACTTTCCGTTCTATTTGAAGCACCGAAACTTCCCATTACGTGGAGCTCTCGTCTGAGATATCCTAGTCAGAACTCTTACCCACGCTCTAGCCCGCTAGACTCTTTTACGTCCACGATATCATTCTAGAATATAATAAAGCCCATCCGACGAATTGAGAAAGGTAAAAAAGTTATCGAAGTATCTATCCTTATTTGTTCCGGCTAACGTTTTTAATTAAGATCTCTCATATCGGACATCAGCTTTATCTATTATTTTTTTAGAGCCATATAAATCCTTATTCAGAGCAGCGAAGCTGTCCATCGTCTATATACCATCAATCGGCTCTGGAAGCTTAATACCGTATCATATCATCACGCACCAATTATTTAAATTTGTACTTTTTTTTTCACATACCAACAATGGCTTACGATCACCCCGTTCAAAATAGTGAGGTGTACCTTCTCAATTCTGCACCTCATACTTGCCTTCCGGCTTCCGCTCCACCATCGCCACCAACTCCAAGTACGCCATGTGACGAACTTCCTCCTCCACTGGACGACCTGATGTCATTGACTCCCCTAGAAATAGAGGAGGGATGTTCACCCTTTAGTCAACGCTTATCGGGAGCAGTTCATGTTCTTAGTACCGAAGCTACATCA